TGAGCACAAGATTAAAAAAAAAAAAGAAGCTATAAAATGGGTGGTAATGAATAATACACAACATAAAGTTTTTGGAAATTCGATAAACATAGTTGAGAATAGCAAACACAATTTCAATTCTGAAACATGAACGGGGAAACTGAATTTATTTTATATTTCAGTTAAAAGGAAATGAAATAAAAAAGGAATCAACCTGCAATATTATGTTTATTGGTATCACTGAAATTCCGCATTTTAGTTTAGCAACAAACTCACCTACACGCAAAAGTGCAGATACCATTATTCACCAAATATTCTCCAGACGTTCTCTCGATTTCGGGAGGTGAAACAAGGTAGTTGCTCGGAAGTTTAAGTTCACCGTCATACTGAAGCATCCCAGCATATCGTATATTAGGAACTCGGACTCGGTCAAATTTATCAAAGTCCTCATACTCTAGCGACTTGGCAATCATAACCATACGATCGGCCCGATAGTTGAAAGTTACTACTGCATCCCCATCAACAATAGGCCCCACAGATTTCCCGCTATCATCGACGATAACAAAAGGGGGTAAATATTGGTCGTTCGTGTTTGGAATTTCTCTCAGCTTTTTGACAGCTTCAACTGCACTCTTGAACTTGTGTGGTGCTTCTCCTAACACTTGGGCATCCCATCCTCTTTTCACGACATCCCAGTCATTCTGTAATTATACATATAAGATGAGAAATGTTATATGTACAGTAAAGCTGCGAACTTTGAAATTCTCAAAAAAATTACCTCATAAAAAGTTACCTAAAAAAAAAAACTGAAATATCTACCTCATATCGGTCCATTGTAACATACATACGACCTCCACCAGATGCAATCTGGGCATCGACGCCTTTCTCACGTAGCTTAGCAAGATCGTTTTCAAGAGTTTCAACGAAGCCTACACTTGTCCCATCCAACACGTCCCTTCCATCCGTGAGCACATGGACACGAATTCTTTTAGCACCATGCTCACTAGCACCTTTGAGCAACAGCTGAATCCAGTAATATAAAGTGCACAATCAGGATTATCAAATATTACAGAGAATAGAGAAAATTGGAATGTTAAGAAAATAAATAAATTGTTCTTGAATAATGGAGGATTAATTAAGGCATTGAGGTACCTGCAGCTGATCGAGCCTAGAGTGGACACCTCCATCGCTCAGTAATCCGATTAGGTGCAGTGTTCCAGTTTCAAAAGATTGTTTAATGTACTTGAAACCTTCTCCATCATAAATTTTACCAGTCTCAAGAGCAATATCAACAAGCTTAGCACTACATCCAGAACAAGATAGAATTGATTAAACCACAACCCTCGAACCAAGAAAAGTAATTGATTTTTCTTAGTGCATAATAAATGTAAATTTAAATCAAGAAAAATGAACAATTCCCATGAAAATAATAAAAAAAGATAGCTCATTGACAACGATCAAATACAGATTATAATCTTCCTCTTCAAGGAAAAAGGACACTTTTTTTTTTTAATCTTTTATCCACCACATACATCAAACAAATTAAATTAAAATAAAATAGCAAAATATACAAACACCAAACATCAGAAAGCAGCAGCAGCTAAAACGGAATCATAAGTGTTATAAGTTATAATCCATTTATCGTTGTTAATTCCCTGCATTCAGCAATCAAACAAGGAGATTGGACTTAGAAAAACACAGCTAAATACACCATGAAGTTAACACTCTTAACAAGATCAATGAACAAAATGGAGCTCACCCTTGTGCGTAGATCCTGCCAGCACCAAGAGCGTTATGGCCGACCTCACTGTTGCCCATGTCATCATCGGTGGGGAGACCCACGTACTTACCATGGGCCTTCACCAGTCTCCATCTTTCAGGGGCACCCTTAACAAAATACCCAACACACAAATATGAAAAAAGATTGAAACCTTACGTCTTCATTTCCCAATGAAAACAAGAACCGACTCACACAGATCCAATATCACTATAAAATCATAAAACATAGTAAATTTAAACCTTTGACAAAAACACAAAAAGATTACATTTTTTAGTGAATCCATGGTGGGCGTCTCAGCCACGTGGATACAATTGTACTGATTGGGTTTGGCCTCGCCCCACCCATCCAAAACTATCATGGCTATGGTTTTCCCCTTGGGAAGCTGCGGATGATCCTTCAATTTCCATGAAAAATCAGAGCTACCCATCTTGTTTTTCCTACCAATGTTTCAAATAAAAATCAGTGAATGTGAAAAGCTATATCAGATTTAATCTAATGGCGTCAACGCATAGAACAACATGCATGAACATTCATACAAATACACAAAGAGCCAGTCAAAAAAGAATAATACCTTTGTGATGTTTCAAGAATCAATCTGTGAAGAGAAAGAAAAAGTAGAGAGCAAGAGTTTGAGATGGAGAGGGTAGTATTTATTCAACCTGGACGGAATTCGATGCGTGATTTAATGATTAAATTATTCTATTAGTACCATTTTTTTCTTAATTTGGATCTCTCGTGGAATATGCCAAATGATGTCTTGATGAACAAGAAATTGCTCAATGAAATCTATTTATTTTATCCTCAAAATCTAATTCAACTTTAATTCAACCACACTATCTTTAATATTATTCATATAATTAAATAATACAAACCAATCATTCTTACACATCAACTTCAATCCACTATTCATCCACTCACATAATTTTAATTATCAATCATTTCCAATCATTTATATCCTACTTTTACATCAAATCAGTTCTAATCATTTTATTTTAAATATTATTATAATACATTCTTAAAATTCCACTAACAACTAACTATACCATCTTTTTCAAAATTAACTATAGTTAACAAAAATAATTCATTATAAACAAATTATTTCATAAACAATCACACCTTAACAATTAGATATTAGTGTGGTTTTCATTTTCTTTCACCTTTTTCCCAAACATAAAGGGTGTTATTAAACACGGTCATCCCTATTACTACTTATGGCCCCTCCCACCATTTTCCTCTTATATTTTTTCAAAAATCTCAAAAATTGTAAAATCCTTTGTACCAACGATTTTCGGCAAGAAAATATTATCCGACCAGGTGCGATTTTTCGCCGGCCGGTCGGAACACCGTCGCCCGTGCAGACGAATGTAGTGTGCATAAGAACATGACAATCTCGCATTTTGGCCATGGATCGTGCACGAGCGGGAATACGGTCCAACAAAAAATTGTTGATATCGTTACCTCTGCTCCCAAGATCGTATAAAACTACAACTGCAATGAAGTGGGTAGCAATAGGGAACATGTCAGCTACAACTTCTATCCAGTGCTCCTCGCCACAAGGTCCCCTGTGCCATGTTATTCGTCGGAGTTCTTTGTCGACCTGATTATAATATATAGTAGTGTAAATGTCACTGTGGGCTTTACCCTCATTTGCAATGCAGTCTCTTGCCACCGCCCACATGTTCTAATCGTTATACATGCAACTCGCGAAATCCGCAATTTCCATCCAGGACAACATCCAGGTAGCTCTCTATGTAATCTAGAATTAGGTAGGGAATTTTGTCCAGGTGTTGAAAATCAACGATATTTGTTGGCCTAGTCTCTGTAATATCAGAATAAGTTCATGTCACAATTTATATAATAGAATTTATATAAATAATTTAGTTAATATTCAGATAAACCAAAGAATATTTCACCTATTGTCTCTTCCGAGCAGAGACAAGACGAGCTTGTCGGGGCACACGAAGAACTGCTTGTATGCCCCACTGGATGACCTCTGTCTCTATACTCCCATTTCGATGGTCGACGCTTGATTGATTTCTTTTTTTTTTCTTTTTGTCGACCTCTTGTATTCTCCTTCACTGTATGTTCTGTATGATCTTGTTGTTCAAGGTGAAGGTGAGCGTAGAAGAGGTGAATCACGTGCCGCATCGTTGCAATATCGGTCGCTTCAACCTCGCCGATAAAGTTCTAAAAAAACTGATGATCTGTCGATCCACTTTGGTCACCTGTCCCTACAAGTATAACATCAAAAATTCAAAGAATTAAACAACATAATTTATTCTGAAAATGAACTGTACTAAAAAATGAAACAAAAACTAGAAAATGCTCAATGAAACATGAACCTTAAATTATAAATACATTTTAATATATCATATTTTGACATCTATTACTATATAATATGGAGAAGGTTAATTGTTTGAATAAATATTTGTAATCCCGCTTAAACATGTAATTTTCCCGCTTAAGTTCAATTTGAAATTTTTTCGTCCAAATTTGAATTGTTTTTCCAACATTCACGGTTTCCTATTTTTTTGGGATTTTGATTTTGATCTCATTTATTTAAATTGTCATTAACGTAAAGTGGCTAAATATGAGCAATATTTGGAATCTCTTTACAACTTACACGTTTTCCTCAAATTAGGGATCTCATTTTGATCTCATCCACGAATTTGAATTGTTTTTCCAACATACACGTTTTCCTCAAATTTGTTGATACTAAATTCCTTAATTAATCATATAATAGTGTTAAATACATCTTCTACATACAATCTTCAATTGGTTCCATAAAATCCGTATCTGATTCCATACCTGCAATATCAAAATAAAGAGTCAATTACCAAAATCTAAAAAATTCTAACAATTGTGTAAAGGAAACTTGTGAATAAATATCTCAATAATTTATAATTTGTATGATTAATCCTTCATAAATCAAAGATTTCAATCTATAGTTTTAACCAATCGTATACTTCCATCATTTTTAAGATATCAATTTAATATTCATTTTTTTTATTTTCGAAAATCTGAAGATAAGTCTACGAAGATAAGTCTACAAATAAATTATTGATTCTCAATATATAACATGTGTTTAATAATCACTTTACATATATTTGTTTCTTTTTAATCAAGAAAATAATCAAGTAGTGGATATTCTTTAAAGATCTCTTCTCTCATTCAATTTAATATTCATTTTTTTTATTTTCGAAAATCTGAAGATAAGTCTAAAAAAAAAAGGTATAATTTAGGTATAACCCATATACACACTATATAAACACCCCATCGGTAACAGATTGAGAGCACGCTCTGATCACAGAAAATTCCCCACAAATCGTCCTTTTTTTTTTCACCTTTCCCCAAAACTTTTCAAAATGCCTCCTGCTTTTGGTACTATTAAAGACCTCAAAAGAACTTACCGACCCTTCATTAAGCTACGCGTCATTAGAATGTTTATACGCGAGGAGGATAGAGGCTATAAAAATCCCCTCGAATTTATTTTGCACGATTCTGAGGTATTTGAATGACATCTATTTGATAACATTATTTTTTCGAAATTTTATTGTTGCATACTAATTCGAAAGAATTGTTTGTTTTATGTACTTTGTAAGGGAGGACGTATCAATGCTCTCGCCCGACCAATGCATATTGCTAATTTCATCAACCAAGTTGAAGAAGGTGTCATTTATGTCTTGAAAAATTATCAAGTCGAAAGTAATACTGGCATTTACCAAACGACAATAAGCCTTTGGAGGCTTGTGCTGAACAAGGATACCAAATTTATCAAGTGGCCTCATCCTTTCCCCACATATCGTTTCGTCTTTAGAGATTTTGCAACTTTAATGGATATTGACAATATAGATGAAACTATGTTGTTTGGTAAGATATTATTACGTGCTTATTTTTTCAGAATTATTTTTATTTAATTTGCAATAATTTGGTCGTGTATTAATTATTAAAATCAATTAACCTAAGTTTTTTTATTACATCGTAATTTATAGATGTTATTGGGGTGGTTGTCGAAATACAACCAATTCAAATGAAGACGGTCAAGGGGGTGCCTACGCAAATGATTGTTTTCTCCATTATGAACTTGGAGTAAGTATATATAACATTATATATTCATGTGGTTTATAATTGTATAGATTGTTAATAGATTTCTTAACATTGTTAATATATTAACTATTAGATTCGAATTTGATTTTTTATGTGGATGCTATTAATATTCCATTGTATGATAATACTTATTCCGTTTTTTTAACGTGGAGTTTATTCAATTTTTTAGAGGAAAAAAGAAGAATTGTACCCTTTGGGGACAATATGTTGATCAACTAATCGCAATTGAGCATCATTATATGAATGAACAACAAGCGTTTGTCATAATCCTGCAAATGTGTCGTGCTAAGGTGTTCGATGGTAATATTTTAATAAATTTAAATCATAATTTTCTTTTTTTTATTTTTACTTTTTTTTTATTGTCTAATCCCATAATTATATTTTTTATTTAGGCGAAGTGCGAATAAGCACATCAAAGGATGTTACTCTTATCATTTCGGTAGATGTTCCCGAAATTCGTGAATTTAGGAGGAGGTATATTAATTAACAATTGTTATTAATATGTATTAGATTATTAATATTTTATTTGATAGTATTTAAATATTTTTATTTTTCAACCATAAGGTTGGCTGCTGGTACATTAAGGAATACCCACTTAGTGTCCAATAGCTCGATTATTGTCAAAACTGAAATTCAACAACTCGAGGATGGTGACATCGTCGTTAGTACTGTTGATTCGCTATATGATAGTGAGGAGGTAATTTATAATATTATTTATTTGAATCATATTTTTTAAATTATAATTATTTTCGATTTATAACATTTAGTAATATATTTAATTTTTTTATTATAGGCTAAGGACATTTGGGTGTGTGCAACAATTAACTCCATCATAGATGAATGGTGGTACTTGGCATGTACTCGATGTAGTAGTGCTATGGAGACTGATGGAGGCAATCATAGATGCCGAAAGTGCACTCACAATCGCGGCATATTTCGGTATGTTCTTTATAGTTTCTTAATTTGTGTTGATGTTAATTAAATACACGATTACGTCATGACACGATCAATTGATTTAATATTAGATACAAAATTCAATTTGGAGTGCACAATGCTTCTGCACATGCAAATTTACTATGTTGGGATAAGGATTGTCAAAGGATTATTGGAAAACCTTGTGATATACTTAAGCGAGAGTATGCCCAAAGGGAGGTAATATATCTCGAATTAAATAAATATTTGTTTTTAAATAAGCGTGTTATTCTTTTATTTAAAGTAACGAATATAATAATTCTCTCTTTCATTTTATTAGAACCATGCTGTCTTTGATCTTCCCGACGATATTGAAGATTTGGTTGGCAAGAAATATCTATTCAAGATTCGCGTTAAGCCTAATGATCGTTACAACTTGGCTGCGGCTTTCAACGTGATTAGGGTTGTAGTTGATGACAATTTAGTTTCCAAGTATTGTCAATGGGTTGATGAAGAAGATGTAATCTTAACAACTTTCTCTATATTCGTTTTTTTCTTTTATAATATAACTACTAAATTTCGAATTTTCAATGTTTTTTCTCCATAGGATTCGGATTTCTTGACTCTTTTGCAAAGAGAAGAAGAGATTGCGAATGAAAAGGTAAATTAATTTGATACGGTCTCCTATCATTAAATTCAACTTATATAAATTTAATGTACCTTTTTT